ATTCCAGGTGTGAGCCACTGCGCCCCGCCTATTAGTGCTCCTCCTTGGCTTTGCCACATAGATAAGTTATTTACCATTGAATGTGCCATCAGTCAGTCAAAACAACTTCCATGTTTACATAAAAGAGAAGCAACATTGTCCCATTACTTAATGGTTAACCACAGTGACATGGATTTCTTTTAAACCCAGGGACTTTTCGGTGCCCCAGGCACAGTGTGGTTCACTGGGAATCGCCACCAGTCACCGTATGAGAGCCAGAGCTCGGCACAGGCATCTAGCCAGAGATCACCTTGTTCCTGGAGGAGAAATGACTTCCATCCCAAGGCAGCGCTGCTTCTGTCAGAGCTGTCAGTCAGGCTTAGTCATGAGGCTGGACAATTACCTAATGATACCCTGCCTCATTTGAGAATGATGTGACGAGCTTGCAGGGATAATGGAGATGAAAACCAGGAAAAATTAAATTACATGAGGAAAGGGATCAAAGGAAAGTAATGCAAAGCCGAGGGTAATATTCGTAAACGAAGTGTGTAGTATGAGTTACGTAAAATTACGAGAGCTGGTCCACAAATTTCACTCTAAAGATTTCCTAATTGTCTAAAAATGAGAGAAATCTGATTTGTAGTGTCCATAAAGGTGGAACAAACCACAGCCTACAGAGAAACAGACATTAAAACAACGGGGCAAGTTGTGCCCTCTGCATTCATGTCAAAGGATTTGCGATTTGCCATGCAATTTGTATATTACATATATATTTAATAATCATAATTAAAATCCTCTGTTGGATATGGGAATTCAGTATAATAAAATGGACAGGCTCGTTTATCCATACTAGTCACACTATAAGTATGAATGTTATGACTATCCAAAATATAGAAACAAATGTCCCAGTGATTCTGTACCATGACAAAGAAGATTTAACTTTGCTCCTGTCGTATTATAGAAAATATAGAACTTAATTGCCTAATCATTGCACACAGTGTTCCAGGAGCGGCATAGCTAAAGCAATTATGGCTCATCGTTTTTGTATAGGAGTAAGAAAGGTCCTCAGATTAAAAAGTGTACTCATTGTAGCAGACTGCATTCTAGCCACATTTATCTTCACTGAATTTCTCACCTTAAGCTGGAAAAATGAGGCTGATGAATGTGATCAAGGTCCTAGGTATCTTTTCTTTACCTCTCTTTTATTTCTATACATTTATGACTTTTCAAGTGAATATATGCACATGTTTAAAAAGCAAAGGTACAGACAGCCTTATACTAATAGCAGCTTGGCAGGTAAGGATAGTAATCCCCACTTTTCTCGCTCGCCAGCCTCACTTCTGCCTTCCAATTCCTCACATTTCTGGTTTTCCTTTTATATCGTCCAAGCTGAATGACATATATATTTGGTTACATAATCACAATTAAAATCCTCTGTTCATTTTTAATAGTGTTACTCTAAAGTTGACGATCACATAAGTGCTTACATTATCGTGAATATATTGGGATGTGCAAAGAAAATGAAACGTCTTCTTCTTTGTGACTGATGTGATCTTAATGATGCGCCCCGCCCCTCCTATGTGCCTGGGAGAACACTGCCTTGATCACCAATTATATGTCTTCATGTCCTGGGCCCACAAGACCACTTCCCACCTCCAGATTCAATGATTCACCAGGACTCGCCATGCCATCACACACGAAGCTAAGATTCACTGCAACAAAAGGATATGAAGCAAAGGGAGAAGGCCCAGCAGGAGATGTTCAGGGGAAACTACAGGCATGGCTCTGAGTCCTCTCGCAGTGGTCGGTCAAGAGGCACTCATTCCCCCAGCAGCCACTTGTGACAATGTGTGTAAAGTGTTGTCTGCCAGGAAGCTCATTAGAGACTCAGTGCCCAGCAGTTTTAGTGGGAACTGGTCATGTAGCCACCTCTGCCTGACGCTTATCAAAATTCCAGACTTGCAGAGGGTGAGATGTTGCACATAGCTATGGTTTGTACAGACAGCTCAGGCTCTACACACCAGCCATAGCAGTAAGGGAATGATGAGAACACTTCCAAAATTCACATTCCAAGATGCCAGCCAAGTCCATGCTTGAAAGCAGGCTTTTCAAAGCATCGCAGTTTCAGTCCTGCTCCCTTTTCTGCACATTTACCTCCATCTTAAGCAGTGGCTTTTGGGTTAATGATCGGTGGCTCCCAGATGTGGCTCCCTTTGAGGTCTGGGGTAAAGAGCCTCGTCAGATGGCTCAGTCTCTTTCAGGTACAGCTCAGGGCTGGAGAACTGCTCTGTGTCCCCCTGCTTTGCTCTAGAATAGTGCATGTGTGCATGCATGAGTGTGTGAGTGTATTAGTATATGTACACCTGTGTGCTATGTGGTGTCATGTGTGCGTGCGTGTGTGTGTGGTGTGTTTATGCATGTGTGGTGTGTCTTGGTGTGCGTGCATATGTGTGGGTGTATGTGTGTGTGGTGTGTTTATGCATGTGTGGTGTGTCTTGGTGTGCGTGTATGTGTGTGGGGTGTGTTAGGTGTGTGTGGTGTGTAAGTTGTGTGGGATGTGTGTGCACAGGTACATATGTGGTGTGTTTATGCATGTGTGGTGTGTCTTGGTATGTGCATGCATGTGGGTGTCTGTGTGTGGGGTGTGTGGGATGTGTGTGCATATGTATATATGTGGTACGTTTATGCTTGTGTGGTATGTCTTGGTGTACATGCATGTTTGTGAGGTGTGTGAGGTGTGTGTGGGGTGTGTGGGATGTGTGTGCACGTGTACATATGTGGTGTGTTTATGCATGTGTGGTGTGTCTTGGTGTGCATGTATGTGTATGGGTGTGTATGTGTGGGTGTATGTGTGTGGGGTGTGTGAAGCATGTGGGGTGTGTGGGGTGTGTGGGATGTGTGTACACATGTACATATGTGGTATGTTTATGCATGTGTGGTGTGTGACATGCTGTGAGCGTGCATTCCTGTGTGTGTAGGAGTGAGTGTGTGGGGTATGTGCATGTATGTGTGAGTGTGTTGGGTGCATGTCTTGTGCACATGTGTAATGGTGAAGGAGAGAGGGAGGGAGCACTCCTGCAGACCGGCAGGGCTGGCTGTGAGCCCTTTCCACTTCCCACAGCATGTTCCCCAGCATCTGCTGCAAGGTGGCAGGGCAGCTCTGCACTGCTTTCAGAAGCAGAGAAGGGCCTTGTGCTGACTCGTGATGAGCGATTTAGTTCCTACAGCTTAAACACTGGCTGGGTCCAAACGTTGGTAGTAAAATCACCATAACCTCCACCCCTGGATCCTAATCTTCTGCCTTGTGCTGGGCTCTGGCCTCATACCACGTCTCCTGGAAACTGTCCATCTCCTCCAGCCCTTGATGCACCTTCCCTCCTCCTTCCTTCTGTGTCACAGCTGGGGAGACCACAGCTCACCTCTCCACTCAGCCCCTTATGTGACCACCTTGCTGCTCTACCCCCAGGGAGGAGGTCCGGGCCGGCCACTTGGGGCTTTCCTCAGGCATCTGATGATTTCCTAGACCCTGAGCGCTGCAGACACACAAACCAACTTTCCAGCTTGTATCTCCCCAAGCCGCTTTTTCCCATTTTCCCATTTAATTGATAATCAGGCCAGATACAGAATTTTAGGTTAAAATGGAAGGTACTGCTACAATTTAAAAAATCTATTTTGATTTTTGTTTCCAAGTAGATGATCTGACCTTTCTGTCTGGAAAATTTGAAGATCTGGAAATGTACTGCTCCTGGTCCCGTGTGTCTTCTTCCCTATCTGCCTTTGTTTTTTGAAGTGGAGTGTTGCTCTGTCTCCCAGCCTGGAGTGCAGTGGCGCCATCTCGGCTCACTGCAACCTCCGCCTCCTGGGTTCAAGCGATTCTCCTACCTCAGCCTCCTGAGTAGCTGGAATTACAGGCATACGCCACTACACCCAGCTAATTTTTGCATTTTTAGTACAGGCAGGGTTTCACCATGTTGGCCAGGCTGGTCTCAAACTGCTGACCTCAGGTGATCCATCCCCTTTAGCCTCCCAAAGTATTGGGATTACAGGCATGAGCCACAATGCACAACCGGATTTCTTAAAATTTAGACAAAAATGTATGCTTATGATGCTTTTTACTGGTTTGCTTTCCAAGAGGAATGCAATAATTGACACTGATATTTCATTTCAAGTGGTCTCCTCTAATTTAAGAGAGTGTAGGCTGGGTACAGTGGCTCACACCTGTAATCCCAGCACTTTAGAAGGCTGAGGCAGGCAGATCACGAGGTCAAGAGATGGACACCATCTTGACAAACGTGGTGAAACCCCTTCTCTACTAAAAACACAAAAATTAGCTGGGTGTGGTGGCACACGCCAGTAGTCCCAGCTACTTTGGAGGCTTAGGCAGCAGAATCGCTTGAACCCAGGAGGCGGAGTTTGCAGTGAGCTGACATAGCGCCATTGCACTCCAGCCTCGGCAACAGAGTGAGACTCCATCTGAAAAAAAAAAGACAAAAACAGAGAGTGTTGCTGTTATTTGTATTTTTGTTTCTTTGATGCCAAGGAAAGTTTGCTGAACACCCCCTCCATGCTGGGCCCTTCTCTAGGTGCTGGGATGCCTCAGGGAACAGAGTAGATCAAGTAGCCTTTTGTGCAGCTACGGTCAATCAGGACAGACAGCCCTCGCTCTGTGCTGGGCAGTGCATGGCTGGGTGGGGGAGGGTGGCAATTACTATGAAGCAAAGGAACCCTGAAAGGGCAGACAGAGAAGTGGAACCAAGTCAGAAATGGCCTTCCTAGCAAGGTAGCATTTAACCTCAGCCCTAGAGGAAGGCTACAAGTGGGAAATGAACATATTTGGAGCAAAATGTCAAATATAGTCTCTGTATATTTATGAATATGGTTTTGGCCTAGCAGATCCCTTGAAAGGGTCAGGAAGACCTCCAGAGGCTGCAGACCACACTTTGAAACATGTTAGAAAATGTCTTAGGAAGTACATGTCTATTATAACTCATATAAGAATATATTGTTGTTTCTTCCCAAAGGGTCCATCTTGCTGGGATGATGTTTTAATTCCAAACCGGATAAGTGGCGAATGCCAGTCCCCAAACTGCCCTGGGACTAGTGCAGTAAGTACCTGGTCATATTCATTCCTCTTATTGCAAGAAAATGATGATGTCTTCACTGTTTGCTAGGAAATTAGAGACAAAAATGTCAACTGACTCTTCTTCCATCTGATAATATTACCAAAAGTGTTATGATATTCAAATATGTTAATTACATTCACCAAAAATCCAGCCTGTGCCACCGCCTTCCAGGGTCCCTTTCCTAGTGACTTAACCATTTTGGGTGACCATGGGAACTGTGTCCATTTAAACGCCTTACCAAGTTATATCCATGGAAAGAAAATGAGAGCCAGTTCAGAGCCTCCAAAAGAAAAATAACAAAAGTGTACGATTCACCTTTTTCCCTGCTCCAGTGATACTTTATATTTATATTCCATGTCATTCACAATTGACTTTTTTTCTACCTTTCTTTAGTAGCGTCCTCACATAGCAGACTATTACAAAATATAGCATGGGTGGCCAGCTATGTAATTCAATTCCCATCCTCTGTCCTTTACAGCCCTTTCTCTCTTTGCAAGTATATGCCATATGTTTCAGAGGCAGCAGATATTTCCTGAAAAAACCCCTAAGCTCTGAATTTATTTTTAAAGTAATTTTGTTATTGTGGTCATGCTTAACATGTATACTGTTATTTTTATTTTAACCTCAAACTCGCTGGCTCCGTCGTCGTCTGCCTGTATACATTTCCTGAGTTGTAAATACTGCTCTGGTGCCAACTCACATGTCAGCGTCAGCTCCCACACTGTCAGAGCCAGCTGGCAGTTAATATCTTCTCTAAGGAGCAGAGTCTGTCAAAAGCAACAGGTGCAGTGTTTGAGTGAGAATCGTTAGAGGAGCTTTCTCTCTCCAATCCACTGGCTGATCACAAGGATACCAAGATAGCAGCCGGCAACAATGAACAGTCACTCTCTGCCACATGAGGGCTAGGGGCTATCAACAGATTTTTAATCATCCAGATCCTGAAGAAAGAAATCCTGGAGAAAAATAATGACTTGTATGACACTCACAGATTTCTGAGACATGACACAGTCTTTCAAGTTTCCTACTGGGATGAAATTAAAATGCATATATCATAGGGCAGAATATTTTTTTTTTAAAAAAAGAGTCTCGCTCTGTCACCCAGGCTGGAGCGCAGTAGCGTGGTCTCAGCTCACTGCAGCCTCGGCCTCCCAGGTTTAAGCAATTCTCCTGCCTCAGACTCCTGAGTAGCTGGGACTACAGGTGTGCGCCACCACACCTGGCTAATTTTTGTATTTTTAGTAGAGACGGGACCCCACCATGTTGGCCAAAATGGTCTTGATTTCCTGACCTCTTGGTCTGCCTGCCTCAGCCTCCCAAAGTGCTGGGATTACAGTCATGAGCCACTGTGCCTGGCCAGGGCAGAATTCTTAAATATAATTAAATACCTTCACATGTATGCAGATGTAATCTGTATATGTTATAGCATACCTAATATGTAGATATAATTACATATTACATCTAATAATATAATTACATATACATCTACGTTTCCATATACATATCTATATATATGTTATACATATGTACATACATATAATGTTGCCCCTATAAACTTGTACGTAGAAACCGATGGGTTTATGCTTAGAAGTTTTTAGGGTCAACATTAAATGAATGTATGTTATACATATATACAACATTATATGTATAATGTTTGAGTTATATCTATAACTTAGAACTGAGTTTGGGGCCAGTATTCACTCTTCCTGGCTGGTACATAAAGTCCTGTGTGTAGAATGTTGTTTCATGCAGCATGAGTTGTAGTCCTGGGTACTGGGCTGAGAGTAACCCAAATCCCTCCCCCACACTGGCCGCGCTCATGAGGCCCGCCAGCCTGTGACGTTCCCAGGGACAAATGAAGCTTCTTCACACTCATTGCGCTCACCAGGCATCTCTGCCGTGTGAGTGTTCGGGACACTTAAGGCCTGAACGAACGTGGCTGAAGAACCTCCCCTAGGAGGCCTCTCCTTGGTGTGAATTCTCGGTGCTGAGTGAGCGGAAACTTTCTCAGCCTGGCTTCCCCCACAAATCCTTTCTGCAGGGTGGACTTTGGAATTCTGAAGGAGGTGACAGCTTTGGCTTCAGGTTCCCTCATCTTCCCTGCACTCAAAAGCCCCTTCTTTGCTTAGAACATCCTCGTGCCAAACGAGGAGGGAATTGTGGAGGCTTCCTTGTCATCACAGCACTTGTAGGACGTGTGGAGTTGCTCACACTCCTAACACATATGGGACTTGCCTGGTGAATTTTCTGGCAGTAAATAATGGCTGCTGCTTCTTGAGACCTTTCCGAACACCATGCATTTCTAGGTTCAGAGCTGGGCTTCTCCGTTTTGGCTGGATTCGTGTCCTTGCTGTTCAATCCCCTGGCCCCTCATCAGCTCTAACTGTGTGGCCACGTGGGGGTGGTGGCCTCAAGTCCCAGTGAGGTCTCGAGTTCAGAGGTCTTCAGTGTTCGACATGGACCACACACCTCTGGGCCCCTTCTCCAGGAGAGACAGCCAGCTGTGTCCTCAAAGGTCATGATCCCTGTGCCAAGGTCATTATCTTCCCTGCCCTTATTGAAACCTCAGGCTGGGGACCTCCCAGGAAGCAATTCCTGGACCATTCACCTGAATAGTGAATAGAAATGGAAATGCACTAACTGAAGTTTAAAAGACAGTGACTCTTAGACTGGATTAAAGGAAGAGAATCTAGCTTTATGCAGGTTACAAAAGACATACCTAAAACATGTGAGCAGAAAAACAGCTAAAGTAAAATAATGGAAAGTAATAATCCAGGCAAGTATTAACTCAAGAATCCTGTTGAAACCATTTTAATTGCACATAAAATACATTTTTAGGGAAGGGTGGAAACATTCCTAAAAAGGGGACTTTCTAGGTTTTGAGGAAAAATATGTTCAGCGTCCCAGGAAAAACCTCCAAACCTTCATGATGAGGTTTTGAGGATAGAAAGGTTTAGTAACTCAGGAAGAAATGGTATGATCTCAGTAACACGGATTCAAAATATACTAAGGAAACATTGTCGGAGTTAACCAAATACATGAATAAATTTAACACCATGGTGGAAGGAAAAGTAACGCTACCGAGCTGCGGGCTCCTGCAGTACAAACTTAGGAAGGATACGTCCAATTCATACAACCAGTGAGCCCACGACATCAGGAGAGAGTCCCTTGGTAACTGGAGGATATCAACATCTGGTCATGTTTTAAGAAATTTAAATACTGGCCAGGCACGGTGGTTCATGCCTGTCATCCCAGCACTTGGGAGGCTGAGGCAGGTGGATCACCTGAGATCAGGAGTTCAAGACCAGCCTGGCAAACATGGAGAAACCTTGTCTCTAATAAAAATACAAAATTAGCCGGGTGTGGTGGTGCATGCCTGTAATCCCAGCTACTCAGGAGGCTGAGGCAGGAGAATCCCTTGAACCCGGGAGGCGGAAGTTGTGGTGAGCAGAGATTGCGCCATTGCACTCCAGCCTGGGCAACGAGAGTGAAACTCCATCTCAAAAAAAAGGCATTTTAAATATCAGTAGCAAAAATATAACTCTAAGACATGACATTCAAATCACTGAGTCAGTGCAAAGATCTAAATGGAAGTAAGAGACCAAACAGCAATGAAAGCGCAGCACATGGCAAATATTTTGGGATGTAGCTAAATTTGTACTTAAACAGGGAATTAAGGATCATAAATGCTTCAGAGATATTCTTATCAAGGTAGGAAAAGGAAGCATCATATCCAACTCTGTTTTTTCGTCCATATTTAATAACCACCAAAGAAACGTCTGTTGAGTGAAGGAGCTGAAGGTGTGAGCCCTCACAATGCCAATAGCTAGCCCAAACTCAGTGTTCAGTGTGAGTTGAATTCTTTCACTCCCTTTTAAAACCATGTTTCTGAATTGCATTTTCACAATACAGTTAAATATAAACTCTGACTCCTGTATTTTCTAAAGTCAAGGTTTTGACAGTATTTTCAACCCTATGTATAATTTATTTTATACATTTTAAAATTATTAAAATTTTAAATTTCTATCACTTAGACAAAATTTCCATGTTCTTAGAATTTTAAATAGCAGTGTTCCTAATATATTCTTAATTAACTAACTTGTATAAACTTAAAGGTAATCTTAGTGGATCATTTTAAATAGCAGTAACATTTACCATTGGTTTTTACGAGTACAAATACAAACTTGACCCTAACTCTCTTTTAGACAGAGAAGCCTGAACCTAATTCGGCTTTATGCTAATCACTGTTAGTTTAGGAGGGAGCATACCAATACTATTAGCTCTTACCTTTTTATAAAAAGAATTCTTGTCAGCTCAAAGGATATATGCTTGAGATTAAAAAGGGGATAAAATCAATTAGGATTTTCTCAATTAGTGAAATTAACTCAACTTTGGATGTGGCATGTGACTTTATTCTGCGCCAGTCTTCATTTTATAATTTACCTGTGGTACCTTAAACCAAGCTTGTCCAACCCGTGGCATCGCATGCGGCCGAGTTCAGCTTTGAGTGTGGCCCAACACAAATTTGTAAACTCTCTTAAAACATTATGAGATTTTTTTTTAATGAGTTTTTAAATTTTTTAGTTCATCAGCTACAGTATTTTCAGTGTTGGTGTCTTTTATGTGTGGCCCAGGACAATTCTTCTTCTTCCTGTGTGGCCAAAGGAAGCCAAAAGATAGGACACGCCTGCCTTAAACACTTAAAACACTATCTGTGTTTGTATGTGTATTGGGGGATGTGTGTTTCTCTTACCTGGGCACATATATGCTAAGGACAACCCAAAAGATTTAGTGTCTGAGCATTACTTTTGGGTTCCGAATCCTAACATAACACTGAGCTACCCTGTCGTCAAACGCTCCGCTCTGAGACCTCTGGCTGCAGTGGTGCTTTTCTGATAAGGAGGCGCCCCTTAGCCAACTGTGAGAACCTTGCCTGTTCCCTCACACCTGATGGTCACACAGTGGGGTTTAGGATCAGGGGTATT